AATTGTTTTTTTTAAAAATATAGTTTATCACCCAATCTAAGGTCTTTTTGAGAGTGAGCGGGACACTAGTCATCGTTACGCTGGGCCATCTGGTCACCCCAGGTCTGAGGCATTGCCCAGCTGTGAGACTGACAAGCCCCAAGAGCACACCAGCCAGAGTTAACAGGGCTTGCCTGCACCCTAGCGGCAGTTTTGGGGTTCTGCGTTTTCTGACCTCACGCTCCCCACCCACCCTCGCCCTAGTGGATGGCGGCTCTAATTCAAACGCCACGATGCAGAGGTAGGACTTACTTTTTAATTCTTTCTCCAAAGGAAGCTACTTCCTCCAAGATGTTCTGGACTGTGGAAACGATGTCCTGTACCATGTAGATTCTTTCGATGATGCCCTTTTTCTCGGATTCCTAAGAAACGTAAAAGAGAGATTGGACGCAGTTACGCTCTCGTTATTGTTCCGGTCTAGACAGGAGTGGACTGTGCTACCTAATAGCACAGTTATCATCCACAGGTGACTCTAAGAGATGTCACATTTCTTGCAACATATTTATGACTCTAAGAGATGTCACATTTCTTGCAACATAAAGATTTATTTATTTATGATTTCAGAGAAGAAAGGAGAGGGAGCGAGAGATAGAAACATCAGTGATGAGAGAAAATCATTGATCGGGTGCCTCTTGCAGGCCCCCTACTGGGGACCAAGCCCACAACCCAGGCATGCGCCCTTCACCAGAATCAAACCCAGGACACTTCAGTCCACAGGCTGACGTTCTATCCACTGAGCCAAACCGACTAGGGCTACATATATATTTTTTATTATTAATTTCAGAGAGGAAGGGAGAGGGAGAGAGAGATAGAAACATCAATGGTGAGAGAGAATCATGGATCCAGCTGCCTCCTGCACGCCCCACACTTGGGATCAAGCCTGCAATCCAGGCATGTGCCCTGACCGGGAATCAAACCGTGACCTCCTGGTTCATAGTCGACCCTCAACCCCTGGGCCACACCAGCTGGGCCCTAAGTATTGACTGAATCCACAAAATGTCCTGCCCATTCATCCAGATGCAAACACTCTTCGTGTGCAAGCTTCCCGTGCTCCCACGATGAATGGAAGCCCCATGGAGCCAAGACCTTCATTCCCCCTGGAGGCGATGCGTCTGCCAGGGAACTCTGTCATTCCCTTGGCTGACCCTGGCTTCCTCTTTGTCTTCACCAGGCTATCGGCCAGCTCCCCTGTGCCCACCTCACCCCCCGTCACAGTGCTTCAGAGAGGGTTCCGGCAGGGAACAGCATGGCATGTTGGCTATGTAGACACTATGGTTTCCTAGCACTGTGGCTTCTTAGTCAAACGCTGCTGCATTTAAAAAATGTATATTTTTGCCCTAACCAGTTTGGCTCAGTGGATAGAGCATCAGCCTGCGGACTGAAGGGTCCCAGGTTCGATTCCAGTCAAGGGCATGTACCTTGGTTGTGGGCACATCCCCAGTGGGGCGTGTGCAAGAGGCGGCTGATCGATGTTTCTCTCTTATCGATGTTTCTAACTCTCTATCCCTCCCCCTTCCTCTCTGTAAAAAATCAATAAAATATATTAAAAAATATATATGCATTTATTGATTAACGCTGCTCTTGTGGTCTCCTCGCTCTGTGATCGAGGCAAGTTCCTGATCCCTTTCTGAGTTGCAAATTTGTTATCTAGAAAAGGGAGATCATAGCGAGTCCTTGGAGAAGTAAACAACACATCAGCACTTGGTACACTAGGCACTTCACACACGTAAGCCCGTCCCCTTCAAGAATGCAAAGAGCCGGCTGGTGTGGCTCAGTGGTTGAGCCTCGACCTATGAACCAGGAGGTCACAGTTGATTCCCGGTCAGGGCACAGGCCTGGGGTAGTGGGCTCCATCCCCAGTAGGGGGCGTGCAGGAGGCAGCTGATCCATGATCCTCTCTCATCATTGATGTTTCTCTCTCCCCCTCTCTGAAATCCATAAAATATTTAAAGAGAAAATAAAAAGGAATGCAAAGGGACAAAAGGCTGAATAAGCAACTTTCGGTCCAGTCCAAACAGCCCTGGGGTTGATTGAAGTTCCAGAAGCAATGAACTTCCAGGACAAGCCTACTCATGTCGCCCGGTGCTGCCTGCGCTTATCTGGCAGCTCCATCGGCTCCCCGCTGGCTTTATTTACACGTTTCCGACGGAACCGGGGCATGCGGTGGCAACACAGTTTAGCAAACACAACGTTACATCTGCGGCTGCCACCCGATTCCCCAGGCGGCCTCGCGGGGACCCATTCAGAAAGACAGACCTGCTGCCTCACGCGCCGATGTTTTCCTTACCATAGGACGCTTCCAATTATTCGAGGGAAATGAGTAATAAAAATTGTGATGGCCGCTGGGGCCGTTCAACCAGCAAACCATGTCACAGCGGCCAACAACGTATTTTTTTAGATTTCGAGGGAGAGTGGATTTTACTTCTGACGGATTTGAAAGCACCCAGGGGCATGAGTAAGAGTCGCATGACTTAGGGTCTCGTTGACGGTATGATGGGAGAGAGGAGAGCATGGAACTTTCCGAGACCCAGGCTTCACATTTCATAATGCTCCTCTGTTCTGTATAGAGCAAGCGTGGCACTTGTCGTCAGAAAAAGAATGAAAATGCCAACTCTATAACCTAAACATAGAGACTACATAGAAATAAAGGCAAAATCACCATTTTTTTTCCCCATTGTCCATTTGTTTCTAAAATGTTAAAAAGGAAAAAAACACATACACACACAAAGAAAACCCAGAGTTCTTGGGCTAAGTTTCGAAAGCAGCTGAAATAAGAAAAAAGAGTGGCCCCGTGTGTAACAGAGTTGTTGTGTGTGGTGTGTTTTTTTTAAAGAACAAAAATGAAATAAATCATGAAGCAAATAT